TATATTTTAGTATTGAAAAAAAAGCTATTTTTAGTATTTGAAATTTAACATATAATTTTAAATATTTTTAAAAAAGAGATAATGAAGCAAATAATACATGGATAGAAGTAATGTATATAAGTTATCATTCTAAACATATAAAATAAAACATAAAATAATTATCTGCCTAAATATTTTATTAACTCAGCTAATAAAATTCAGTTATTCAATGGTATTCATCTGGTTCGCTACCCTTACCCTTATTACAGTGTCAAAAAAGAAATCTAAATCTACTGTCTCTATAAATATTTAAAATCTGATATCCTTAAAAATAAAATATAAAATTTGTCCTCTCATTAAATTTCGAGCCTTAGAACTGAGAATTATTCATCATAAGATCTCAAGATGGCCCAATTAAAAAGGCCCATGAGGCCCAAATAGCTTTTGCGGCCCATAACCATACCTCGAGCACCAGACCCGACTTGTCGGCCCGCTTACAACTTCCTTGAATCACGATCAGCATATTGTGATTTGTCGGGCCCACGTGTCACGACCTGGCACGATCGAATTTGATATGATAAAGAAAAGAAAACGCTCCCATTAACCTAATTTATTAATTAGCTCGATTTCTTTTTAAGAAAGCGATCGATGAGCAAATAAAAAAAATAAAAAATTTGAATTACCATCATGTCTTATTGTAAATTGAACTACAAGCTTCATTAAATTAGCAAATCATAGATACTAATATATTATATAATCTTTTTACTACAAAACCTAGAAATCTTTGATAAGAAAAAACTAAAAATTCCAGAATATTTTGTATCATTTAACCCTATTTTATTTATGCTTACAATGAAAGTAGTATATGTCAATTACCACTAAGCTATGTTCGCTTTGGCTTCTATTTAGTTATTTACGTTTGAATAGAATTATAAATTGTTTAATAATAAAGTTTAAATTAGTTGACGGTTGTCATATTGGATCATTGGAACCATCATATATTTGAACGATAATGTCGTCTTTCCGTTGTTGATAGATAGAGAGCTTACCGCCCCGCCCTTTATAGTCGCGACTGTTGTCATGGAAAAAGAGTTCGATCAAAAAGAAGAAGGGTCGTGCCCAGTCCCAAACAGTTCTTCAAGTTTGATTGATATGGTGCTAGAGTCCGCCGCTTTGACAGACCAATCAGGTCGCGCTACTAAAAACACCACTTCCTGCCCGACTTGCATGTGTGATACTCACTCAATTCACATTAATTTTTTTAGTAAAATTTATAATTTTTCTTCAAAATATCAAAGAAATTGGAAAGAAAATTATAATTTTCCTATTTTAGGTGGCCTAAACTCGAGAGCTGATTTTTCTATTAAAACAATTAACCATTAAATAAAGAAGGGATGGAAATTAATGAAAGTGGATGAGGAATCTATTTACGAAAAAAAAAACAGAGGAGATTTAATTTAATGGAAAATGGTAAAACAGGAAAAAGAAAATGGAAAATGTTAATTTAGAGCGATGTGGGAGTGCGACCATTTCAAAGCGACCTTCTCGCGAAAACCCCAGGGCCGGGCAATCTGTTTCCTCACAGGGGAGAGAGAGCGATGACGATGGCGATGCCCGGGAGCATTGTCGCTGTTCTTCTCCTTATGTTGCTTCTCATCGTCCTCCTCCTCCTCATTGCCTGCAAACCATGGCGCTTCTTTTCCTATTATCGTTCTCGCACCATCAAGGTTTTGTTTTATTCCCCCTTTTTCTTTTCTGTTGTTGATTTCTGTCTGGCATTGTTCGTGTAATGGCGCCGATTCATTGCGGATAGATTGTAGAGATAGAATTGGAATGATGGGAATTCTTGTTGCCGATGTTGTTTGCGGATTGCACTTGGAATTTTGAGGTTCTGTGAGTTGAATTATTCGGCGATCAAGTTGCTGGGGATTGTCTTGGATTGATAACTTCATTTCCCAGGGATGGCGATGGATTTTTAAGTGATGGGTGTTAAATGTTTTGCTCTAACTTTTCCGTTAGGGCGGTGATCTTCATCTGGCAATGTTGCAGTGAACAATTGGAATCTAATTTGTGAAAAAATTTACGGTTCTCCTGTTGTGTAGCTAATCTTTACTTATGTGGCTTCCGTTAACGAGGTCTTTCCTTCGCTTCATGACAGCTGGATTCAGCTCTCGCGAGATTCTGCCCTCTAGAATATTATTTTTGTACTTTCATCATCATTCACCTGCTTGTATGCCTCCAAGAAATGCAATTATAAATTGATAATTGATGACAACATGTTTTGATTGACTTGATTTTTTTCTCGTTGTTTGGCATTTATCCGGTGAGCTCCAGAATTAAAGAAAGATAAAGAAAAAGAAAAAGATAAAAACCACTCTATGTTCAAGCTTTAAAAAATTGGTAAAAGATGTTAGTTTCTATTGAAATAATCAAATTCCTTTGTAAATTGATTGTTTTAATTTATTTTTTAAATTTCTGAAAAGTATAAAACATACTGATATTTTTTTATCCTTTATTATTGTTATTATTTTTTTAAAAATTGATAGGAAGAATATCCTTGATCATGGTTGCTTGAGTTATATATTTTAAATTATATGATATATGAGGCTACCATCTTTTTAATTTCCTATTCATGCTGCAACATCACATGTTTTCTTACAGAGTACTGACCTTGAGAGGCCCCTTGTCTCTGATGCTGCGGATGTCACTCAAAACCAAATTAATGAGCTTCCTAGAGATTATGATTTGGAGGGTGCACTGCAAAGTGATGGACATTTCCGATCCTCAAGATTACACGGGCTGATTCATAAACAAAGACTACAGGCTCCATCTCCCCATTTAAGTCAGGGTATTTGATTCTGTTATGTCAATGTCCTTTAAGCATCTTCCTCATTGCACGTGGTTTATAAAGTATTTGTTTTCTTGGGTGTCCTGTTCATTTCCATCAGGTGATAGATTGGTTCCGGATGTAACTTGTGATCCTTCAGGAGATATTTTGGTTGGTCAAACACTTAAACGTACATACATTACGAACCAGACTCCAGAAATTCCAAAGCGTGCTAAACAGATTGTTGGAAGTGAACCGCGCAGTGAAATTGCAAGTCAAGATGTCTCACATGGAAGTAATTTCTCATCTCATTCACTTATTGAGTGAGGCTATTATTACATGTAATCTATGCGAGTATGTAAAGCATACCTTCATATCTTTCTGTTAGAAGTGCAGGAAGTTACCTCACATTGGAAGTTATCTCCGGTCCTTCTCGTGGGGTGCGTTACTCTGTACGTTCCACAGACACGTCTAGGCTTCCGTTGACTCTTGGAAGGGTACCTCATAGTGATTTACAGCTGAAGGATTCAGAAGTCTCAGGGAAGCATGCCTTGATAAAATGGAATTTAAATGTAAATATTCCCATATTGATTCAACACCTCTCGCCATACTTATGTGGCTCTCTGATTGTTACTCAACTATTCATTTATTTGCAGAATATGAAATGGGAGCTTGTGGACCTGGGTAGCCTTAATGGGACCCTATTAAATTCTCAACCAATCAACAATCCTGATTCTGGAAGTAGACAATGGGGTGACCCAATGGAGCTTGTAAGTGAAGATGTTATAACTCTTGGTACAACCTCCAAAGTGTATGTAAGTTGACTAACCCCTGTTTTGGCACTTAAAATATTAAATTTTCATTTTAGTAGTAAGCATCATGGGTTGGCTTAGTAGTTCAAGGCTTGGCCGACTATATAGGATTTCAGAATGTCACTTTTTTTACATATAGGGGTTAAAGTTGAAGCTCTTTGTTTACATGGCCCATATCATTATGACTTAAAATGCATTCGATTTATTAAGTTGAAAGTATAATCTTCACCTTATGGCAAGGTGTTGGGGACCTTTGATTAGATTTTTTAAGCCAGTGCCTGGGGTTTAATATTTTGCCTCTCTGGCAGGTTCATATTACATCTCAGATTGAGAGTCAGATTCCATTCGGAGTTGGTATAGCTTCAGATCCAATGGCTTTGCGTCGAGGTGGAAAGAAGCTTGCCATGGAAGACATTTGCTATTATCATTGGCCTCTTCCTGGGGTTGATCAGGTTCTGGTGCTGGCAATTTGTGTACTTTTCTTGTTAAGAACTTCTCGTATTACAAAGCTTACCTTGTATGAATATTTAACTGGCAGTTTGGACTCTTTGGGATCTGTGATGGACATAGTGGAGTTGGGGCCGCCAAATCTGCTAGCGTGTTAGTACCTGTTCACAATTCTATTTTGGTTGCTTATAAAGTTATAATTACTTTCGTAATGAACCTAAATGAAACCTGAAGATATTAAAAATTTAAATACTACAAATCAGAGGGAACTTCACAGAAACTTCAGTAAGATGTTCATTATGTACTCTTAGGTATAAAAATTTATAAACCTTTTCTTTAAGTGTTCTTAGAATGTTCTGCCGAGGGGTATTGAATGGAAATATAAAATTGACGAGTCACAAAAGTAGATAGAAAGTTTTCTGGAATTTGAGTTTGTACATAGATAGTATGGCATCATCTATAGTCGAGTTTCTGACCTGCTGGCATGAGAATACCTGCATTCAAATTTATTTTATTTTTTTTCCCGTAAAAGATGCACTTGACACTTGAGTGGTGGGCGTTTACCTACCCTTCTGTACTAATTGTTAATATTTTTTACTTCTAGGATTCTGCCTGAGAAGGTTGCTACAATTCTATCTGATTCACTGAAAAGGGAGAGGGTTTTATCTCTCTGCGATGCTTCAGATGTTCTTAGAGAAGCTTTTTCCCAGACTGAAGCTTGCATGAATCACTACTATGAGGTTTCTTCACTAATTTTCCTATATGAATTTATTTTTAGCATTTCCCATGCTCTAATATGTATTTATCTTAAGTTCTTTATTTTTATCCCAAAAAAATTGTTTATCATAACAAACATGAAGATAGACATGACATGAGATACGAGCATGACACTTGGTCATGTACACTGCTGCCATGCCATTTTTCAAGGATTTTCAAGCTGCACATGGCAAGAATATATTGGTCAAAATGTGTTTTCTAAAAATAAACTTGTGTAATATGAAAATTTTATGTGAAAAGCAAATTTATGAACCATTTTTTATTGGATTCTCACCCTGACTCTTAGAATCTCTGTCTCTGTGTGTGCGAATGAGTTATTTTATTTTCTTGAATTTTGATAGTGGTATTGTTGTTGGCAATGATTGTTGTATTATTAACGGCTGTAACCAAAATTTTTTTGCAGGGTTGTACTGCTACGGTGCTTCTAGTATGGGTTGATAGTGATGAAAATTATTTTATGCAATGTGCGAACGTTGGGGACTCTGCTTGTGTTCTGAAGTATGTATTCCTAATTTCATTTGTTTACTTATCGGTTGACCAGAATGATGCGTGTTTTTGTTGAATTTGGATGCAGTTATTTGTATGCAAGAAAAAAGAAAAAGAATGATGGATACACACTTTACTGGCATTTTATGGGTGTGTTTGCCAAAACATGTTTGGCAAATTAAAAAATTGATTTTAGGAAAGCTAAAATCACTTTTAATTGATTTTTAAGGTATCACTTGAACGGTGATTTTGGAAAATCAATTCTACTTAAATCTCTTTTTTCAAAATCACTAATTCTACCATCACTCCCAAACACACCCTCACGTTAAAAAAAAATTAATGACATCTTATAGTTTCTGGAGAAAGGATTTCAAGTTGTTTTTGTTGCGGGGTAGAAAATTATGGCCTGCATTGTTACCACTTCTATGAGCATCTTTCTGACAAGGTTAGCATTCACTATGCCTGAACAATGTTATAACTTATTTGTTGCTGTCTTTTTATTTCAGTGTTCATGGGAAACAGATAAAGATGACAGAAGACCACAGAATAACTAGCCATTCAGAAAGACTCCGAATAGAACAATCAGGAGAACCATTGAAAGATGGGGAGACACGTTTGTGTGGTAATAAAGAGTTTGCCCTTCACATTAGAAAATAGCTATTTTCAAGTGTAGGCCATGTTGCTAACACCTTGCCTCCCTGGGTTCAGGCTTGAGCCTTGCGAGGATGCTCGGCGACAAGTTTCTTAAACAACAAGACCACCGTTTCAGTTCAGAACCTTATATAAGTGAAGTTATCCATGTAGAACAAGGAAGCAAAGCTTTTGCATTGATGGCAAGGTGATTTTACTTTTGACCCAACTGTTTAACGCCATATCTGATTCTTCACTCACATCAATGATTTTAATCTGTATGCCCCTTAGTGTACCATTCGACACGGATTCTAAATACGTTTTGCAATTCTTCTCGCATGCATCTAATGGGGAACTGAATGCACATGCTGACTTTTCTTAAAAAATATCCTAATTCTTGTTTGCTCATTTTAAAGTGGGAATTTTGATGTGATTATGCAAATATTTTGCAGCGATGGCTTCTGGGATGTGATTAGTATGAAGAAGGCAATTCAGCTGGCCATTCAGGTACACCATTTTCCTTTTTAATCCTATGGTTTCACCTTCTCTTCCATCTGGAGCAAGTGAACTCTGAATTGCTGCTGCGCAGGCTAGGGAGAAGCACTCCACAGGCGCGGAAAATTCGGCCGAAAAGGTTGCCAATTTTTTGTTGGGCGAGGCTAAAACACTGCGTACAAAAGATAATACTTCCATAATTTTCTTAGATTTTGACGTTTCTCATAGAATCACTTGTAAAGTTGAGCCATAATAAATTATTATTGTATTGCTAATGTTATAGCGTAGTAGTAATGGTTATATATTTGCCTAATTTTCTAAAGTTCCTTCTTTTGGGCATTGCCAAACCTTATATATACACTCAATGGTATACGCATTGGCAAAATCATCCACATGTTATCTTGTGATTTTAGAAAGATCGAAGAAAGTTCTAACATCCGTTGCTCAAGTGCTTTTTCTTGAGCTAATAAAATGAACGAGAGGGAAGAATCGTGAGCTTTTTCATCCCAATTCTTGAGTTTTAGCCTAACTTGATCAAATAGATTTAACGAAGTAATTCCTTATCTCGAACAACAGCGTGGTCATTATTGGAGCAACAAGTTGATCGATTTGAATTATAAACGAACTTTTTGGTGAAATAGTGACATTATGTATAATATTATCACTCTTGATGGTTACATAATGTCCATGACTTTGAACTAAGAACGCAGGTTCGAGTGACTGCTTATCTTCACAGAATGACTGTTTATAAAAAATGCTGATCTTCACTAAGTAACAACGTGGGTGAATCAAATCATGTCCAATCACCTCTTCATTTTAAATTACTTCAAGGGGGCTTTGTAGGTTTATATATAAAATCAATCACACATTAATTTTTTTTATAGACTTTTTTTTAATCTTATATTAGTTTGTACTTTCATGAATATATATTAATTCAAATTTTAGTTTAATAAAATATTCTTGTTTTTGTCGAAATAGTTAATTAAGACAAGTTTTTAGGCATTTACATAAAATAAATATATGTTCCGAATAGTTAAAAGTTTAGAATCTTGCAAAAATAAAACAATCCATAAAAAACTAAAATTCAAATGTAAAATAAAATACATAAAGTAAGTCAACCTTGTGTTGTTGTGTTGTATTGGAAACCAAAAGAAAATTGAGATATTTTTTTAGATATTTATATATTTTATACACATTAGATTTATGTCATTTAGTGAAACTTATGAAGTTAACAATTACCTTATTTTTATTATGTTATATTAGACTTTTGAACTTGATACCTCTAAGTAGAGATATTACAAATTATTTATTTATTTGATACGTGGAGACATTATATGTATGATCAACTAATTCTGTGTTACTTTTAATTTTAGTCTATTTAGTAATTATCTTAAATAATTTAATTGTTTTCATGGAGAAATCAAACTTAACTTTTTAAAAGTTAATTTTAGTCTCGATTTTTAATACCCCAACCAATACCAAATTCTAGTCCACTGTCACTAATTTTTAACTACAATTTTTTTTTTTTTTTGGTTAACCCAGAGTATGAATCCAACCATCAACATTTAAATCAAAACAAAAAAGGACAAAAAAAAAAAAGAAAAACTTATTCTCTATAATCACGAACTATACTTCAAGTAACCGAGAGGAAGAAAGAAAATAAATAAATAAATAAAAATAAACGTTTGAAGGGCAAAATCGACATTTCACAAGAAGGAAGAGCCCTGTTTGGTTACGGAGGATAAAAGAAAGACGGAATAGGGAGAAGCTGAGGGCGCTCCTGGCTGGCGAAGAAGAGGCTTTGCGCTCCGCAGAAGAGAGAATTTTTTCAATTTACGCGCGACGAGCAACGAGCCCCCAAATTTAATTTCCCATTCCATTAATTTGTAAATCATCCATATATAAATACCCTCCCCTCTGCTTCTCCCGCCATGAATATGGCTCATCTCGACACCGACATCCTCTCCACCAGGTCCCTCATCTCCGCCCTCAATCTCCTCTCCCGCGACCTCCCTCTTCCTCCCGAGCTCTTTCAAGCTGTCTCTTCCATCTATTCCGGTCCCGAGGATCAAGACACCACCGCCCCGGACAGTGATTCGGTATTCATTCTCGATTTCCCTTTTTTTTCTTGTTTTGTTTTGTCTGCTGCTGTCCGTGCTCTTGGCTTAGGGTTTTTTCTCGTTCCTTGATTTCTTGTGTTTGGTTGCTCGTTAATTTGGGGCTGGTGGGTGGGTTTCATGAATTCTGCATTCTGCTTGCGTTTCTTGTTTGCTTGCGGCTTCTTTTCTGTGGAATGTTGATGTTTTGCATTGGGTTTGGATTTTAGTTTGTTTTGTGTAATGGGGTTACTGATGTGATGCTGGGTGGTCAATTGTGAAGCTCGTTTTACTGATTACTTGTGGAAAAATCTCGACTTTTGAACTCTTCTTTTTTATTTCTTTCTTCCGGCTAATGTTGCTTGAAGAAAACAATTTCGGTTCTTCTAGAACTAGTATAGATAAAAGAAGAAATCGTGTAGTCCATACTGTGTTAGTTTCTGTAGTTGTGCTGTTGCTGATACAATGTTGCACCGGTGCTGTGGTGTCTGGATTTCTCTGAAACCTTTTGAATTGTGTTCTGGTGTTCTTGATACAGGACGATCTTGGGAATTCAACTGAAAGGGATCTACTGACGGACCTTGGAGATGCTTTGGCGAAGCAACGTTCAAATTGTGTGTCTGGTTCTGGGTTGGAACAGTCGAGAGAAGAACGTTATCGAGGTCGCATACAACACCGGTTGAATGATCTAGAAGGTGACTCAATTAATACAAGATGTTGAACATTTGTTCTTTGTTATGTTCCGTGGGCCATTGGACTTACTGCCAAAATCAGAAAAGAACTTGATGTTAATTATGCATGGGCTTTTGATAAGTAAAAAGCATGTGAACGAAAGCACTACATTTATGTGTTCTGCTGCATTAGTGGTTATGACTTATACTGCCCTATGTTACTCCAAAATTACTCTATTTTCATGCTGGGAGCTAGCTGTCTTTAAAGATTTGCAGTCGGTTAAGGGTGCGTTTAATGGCTCTTTATTTGTTGCTTATCAATTTAATAATTTTGAACCAGAATTACCTTCAAGTAGAGGGGAGGACTTACAGACAAAGTGCTTACTTGAACTATATGGATTAAAGGTAATCTTTCTGTAGAAAATATTCTCCGTGTTTGTTGGTTCATCTTTTGGAATTGGTATTTCTCTGCTTTTTTAAATGTAAATCTTTGAATTTTATAATGAGTAACTCTATGGTTGAAACTAAAGTAGAATTCATCATGATTTGTTTGTCTTAAAACAAATCATATACTTACTTTCTTCCTCCAAGAAAGAGTTTACTAAATTTTTTTGGCAATTGTCAAGATTTGGCTTAAATATTGAAACAGAAATTCACCATATTGGTTTTAACATCTTGCATAGCTTGGGCATTAATGATAAATCGGGAATGCCTGTACACAGATTCTTTTGGTACTGATTGATGACAACCATTTCGTGGCAGTTACTGGATCTGCAAAAAAAGGTACGGTCTGATGTGAGTTCAGAGTACTGGCTTCAGGCAACTTGTGCATATCCAGACAAACAACTATTTGACTGGGGCATGATGCGATTGCACCGTCCACCATATGGTGTAGGAGATGCCTTTGCCATGGAAGCTGATGATCAATTGCGGAAGAAACGGGATGCTGAGGTCATTTTCTTCCAACAATCATTTCTGTATTTCTTTCATGTTCTGGATATTTGACTCCGTGCACTGAGTCTGTGAGATACAATATCATTAGATGGTAACAGTTACTCTACTAGTTCATTTGTGGCTATTAAAAGCTCATTAAAGAGGCATATCCAACTCTTGACTGGAGATGAATCATAGACTCTTTCAAGACATTTTTTGAAGGGATATGAAATTTAGGACTTCATTCAGTACAGGGCTTCTTTAATTGATGCCACCTTAAGGAACTTTTTGTAATTCCCTTGGTGGATTTGGGTTGATGCCTTTTTCTATCATACTTCTGTATTTTTGTTCTTATATATATAAAAAAAGGCACATTCAACATATGCTTGTTATAGAGAATCCTTCGTTGACAGTGCTCTTGCAACCTTTGAGGATTATAAGAAAGTGTTAGCTCAAGAAACCATTATGAGAAATATATGATTTTATGTGAGAAAAATTAAAAGATATATAATCTCTAATGAAATTGCTTGTTGTATACTATTGACATCAGAGAAACCTGTTTGTGCAGAGGACATCAAGGTTAGAAGAGGAGGAGAAGAACCAGATTGAGACCAGGAAAAGAAAATTTTTCGCTGAGATACTGAATGCTGTTCGTGAGTTCCATTTACAAATTCAAGCTTCTTTAAAACGTCGAAAACAAAGAAATGACGGAGTCCAGGTATTGCCACTTTTTCATTCTGTCCTCTTCTTGAATTTGATGTTCCGAAAAAGGAGATTCTTCTACTAGTAACAGTTCTTTAGTTTCTGATCAGGCTTCCGGTGCATTTTACTCATGTTAGGAGGGTGAGTGGTTAGTTAAGGTTGTCTGGTAGTTAGGGATTAGGACAATGAACTGAGCTTGTTGGTTAGTTACGATGAGTGCCTGTTATTAGTGGATGGATTAAGCTGAGCAAAAGGCAGGTTGTTTATTGTAGAGAATGGAGGCCAAACTTCACCGTTGATTGGGAAGTTTGTACTCATTTTTCACAGTAATTTTTTTTTTATCAGAGTTATTCACAGTAAACTAATACTTCAGTTCTACCAGTTTCACAATTATGGAATTTTGGCAACACCTTTTCTTTTCTTGGAGTGAACAAAAATTATTAACGATTAAGAAACTTTGTCAGGATGACTATATGCTTTAAATTACCTTGGACCTTGCGAAATGATATCAACTGATATTTGAACAGGCGTGGCATGGAAGACAAAGACAACGTGCTACAAGGGCAGAAAAACTGAGGTTCCAAGCACTAAAGGCAGATGATCAAGAAGCTTACATGAGATTGGTTAAGGAGAGCAAGAATGAACGATTAACAACACTTCTTGAAGAAACAAACAAACTACTTGTTAACTTGGGTGCTGCTGTTCAAAGACAGAAAGATTCTAAACTCTCAGATGGCATTGAGATCTTGGATGAATCCGATGTTGATTTACCTGAGTTGGATTCTTCAAAGAATGCCACCCCTCAAGATTTACTCATCGATGAAGATTTTGATGCCATTGATTCTGATCGCAATGATGAAAGTGGTGATTTACTTGAAGGACAGAGACAATATAACTCTGCCATTCATTCAATTCAGGAAAAGGTACCTAAGAAATTCTTGTCTATAGCATTTCATTTATTCTATATGGCGGATTCATTTGTT